GTTTCACCCCCCCATATTGAAAAAAAAAAAAAAAAACATTTGAAGAGTGAAAAGAAAAACATTTAGGAAGGTTACATATAATTATGATGATCAACTTTGTTCATATATTATAGTGATGCCATATATATATATTCTCTTTTTTTCTTTCTTTCACAGATACTTTGTGTTATCCTGGACACATGGCCTACATTGACAGCAACATACACAAAGACATACTTCCACCTGGGCCCAAATGACTGGCCTACACATGCGTGCTTTGATTTGTGTGTGTATGTAAACAGTGTGTGTGTGTTCACTGCTGTGTGTGTGCACTTTGGATGGGTTAAATGGAGAGCGCTAATTCCTAGTATGGGAAACCATACTTGGCCACATGTCACGTCACTTTCACTATACTTGAATTATACTCAATTTTTCTTTGACTTTTTTTCTTTGAATTTTGTTCAATTCCTGGAGTGTAAAATTATATATGGACACATGGCCTACATTGACAGCAACATACACAAAGACATACTTCCACCTGGGCCCAAATGACTGGCCTACACATGCGTGCTTTGATTTGTGTGTGTATGTAAAGTGTGCAGACAGTACACTAAGGAAATAGGCCAAAGGCACTAAAGACAGATTAACGTTCATTCACTGAACTAAATAGGCTTACTGACAAGTGGAATGACAGCCCTTCACTCAGATGCTCAGTGAGAAAAAAACAAAGGTTCACTCAGAGGTTAGAACCCGCTGTTTAAACGAGTCACAATTTCACTGATATCCTAAACTATAAGCCATTGTCCGTTAGAGAAAGTTTGAGAAAAGCTGTTAAAATCCACAGCCTACGATGGCACATTTGTCATTTCAAAGCCTTTTTGGAGCCTTTTTTGTCATGAAGTCTCAGTGGGGCCGTGTCACAAACAGGTCTGATAGCGAGACTACAGCAGTTGAGAGGTCTAAATGTCAAAAAAGCTGTGTACACAGAGATCAACTCACAGGGGCTCTCTGCCCCTCTTTTTCTTCCCCTTTCTCATTTGGATCCCCCCCTACCGTCACGCTCCCGGCTCCGTCGTTCTTTTGTCATCTTATCTGCTGTCCGACTCTCTTCCCGCTCCCACGTAACAGACAGCACACCTGGGATTTGCAGCCTCTCTGCTCTCACATTCCTGTCCTGCTCCGCTTATCGCTTTTTTGGCGCCTTGTCGCTTCAGACGCTTAGGCAGGGGCCCCCGAGGCCCCTCAGAGAACTGCTAGGGGTCCGATGAGCCTCCACCACGTCTCACTGTCACCTCAGACATCAGACATCTGGCAGTGCCACACACACACACACACACATGCACACAGTAGAGATCTTCAAAACATTCTCTACAGAGAGGCATTTTGAAGTGAGAACAGACACGGAACACCTTGACAAACCAGCACCGAAGACGCTCTTATTTTTCTTTCTCTCTCTCTTTGGAGAAGAACAAAAGTTGCTCTCATAGATGTCATCAGTCAGAAAGAACAAATGGAGCACTGACCTGTCAAGAGGAGATGAGGTGTGTGCAGGAGGAAGGAAAAGAGGGGTGAGATGAATGGAGGAAAGGCATGAGACAGGTGAGAGAAAAGAGTCTGACAGGGGTTGGGGCTGTTAGCATATTTATGAGGACAGATTTTCTGTTCAACTTCAATCTATCTGTCAGCGGTGGCCTCTGCTAAAAGCGTCACCCAACACCCACCTTCACATCATCATTTGAGGCCCACCTTCTCATTTTGTTTTACTTGCGAAACAAATAAGATCCTGTTAGAAGAATTTATTTCAGTAAAGCTTAAAAAAGTGACTAAAAGTTGCTCCAAAAACATGTCTCCGGGAAACGTATGACTTGTTTGGGGAATTGTAAGTCATTTATTTTATTTCTTTAATTATTCTTATTATAGCCCAGTGATTTCTGTATTTAGGTCCCTCCATCAGCTTTCCCGTTCAGATATTAAAGCCTGTGGTTTGTGAAAGAGATTAATGTGAGTGACACACAGCCGCACACAGAATATAAAAACAGTCATGTCTAAAAGAACAATATTGCATTTGTAATGCACAAATTAATTTCCTGTACAATTGGCTTTTCAGTGGTGTGTGTGTGTGTGCGTGTACATAACTAAAGGGCTCAGTGAATATATCTCCATTTTTGTATTTTTCATTGGTGGTTCTCGTCATAGTTCACACTGTCTTTTTTTTTTACGATGTACAGTAGTGCTGTAAACAGGCACACGCAGAAGCCAAGAGGAATAGCTGTCCTCTTGTTTCTCTCCTTGTCTTCCTATCCTCCGTGTATTTTAACGGTCTAGTTTTGTCCTCCGTCTCAGTCCTGCTGAGAAGCGCGTTGTCTTGCCGCTCGGCCTTGCATCTAGCTCTGCAAGTCTAACTCTTTCATCGAGTTTGTTGAGGTCCTAGAGGCTCCGGAAGCCTTCGGGAACACACGATCATCTAACGGCTCTGGAAATAGAGTCTGAAAACTTGATGCTCTTCGCTTTTCCATCAGTTTTACTGATTGTGCAAAATCACGCCGTCTCTGGTATGTCCACTCGGAAAGAGCTAGCATATCCTTTTCCGCGCTAAAAAAGGAAAAAGAAGGAAGCTTATTAAAGGCATGTTTTTTTTAGGCAGCAAACTACATAAAGTGTTGTGCTTAGCTATTAAAAGACCCTTGGCTGGTCCATACAAACGTGGCGCTTTGATGAGGAACTATAGGCCTACAATCATAAACTATTTCCTCAAAGTTAAATGCACCACCCACACAGCCTCGTAGCGTTCTTTCTGAGACAGATGTCTGAAGGTTTCAACACAACAAGAGCAGTCAATAATATCTCAATCAATCCCACTACCACCTTCATCCTCTCTAACACAACAAACAGTAGTAGGCAGTCTAAACCTTATAAACTCTGGCCTTTTGAGAGTGCCGGTTTCAAGCTTCTGAGCTGATGTTTGGCACGACTAGTCAAACACTGCCTCAATAAATGTGCTGCCTGTGTACAAAACAATAGGGAGTTTCTGCCTTTCTTTTATTTTTGTGTTTTACAAGTTCATTTTAGGCTTCAATCTCTGTCAATCTCTGGTGGGTCTTTGCCTATGGTCAGATATCTGAGAATGTTTTAATGTTTGATCTAACATCGTATCGCATTAAAATCCCAAAATTAGACACAAGAGCTTTCGTAATTCCCTGCATTTATAAACAACTGAACGATTTCATAGTGCAATTTCATGTTTCAAAGCATGCGCAATGTTTGAAATAATTAAATTATCAGGGTTGTGAAACATTCTAAACCCAACTGAGAATGCTTTTTAAATTTCAGATTTTTTATTTGAATGTACGGAAGTAGAAATTAAGTGAAATGAATTTCAAACAATTTAATACAACTGTAATTTTTCAAATGAAAAACCAAGTTGGTCAAGACACATTTTAAATGTTGGCTTGAAATGTTTCAAAAGTCTTGAAGATAGATAGATAGATAGATAGATAGATAGATAGAAATTGTGTTGAATTGATTAGAATGACTTCCTGTCATTTTAATTTAAATCCCAATTCAATTTCCAGTGGGTGTAGCCAATTTGATTCAAATTCACAATCATGTATTAAAAGGTTTCTTCAATTCAGATTTTTTTTTAACAACCCTGATAACATTGTTCGACTGTGAGTAAATGTATGAAGAAAAAGCTAATAATACACTCTTAAAAATAAAGGTTATTCAATGCTTCTATCAAGAAAAATCTTTGTTTACTTGGTAGGGTTCTTTCTATTTGGTTCTTTGAAGATTAAAATAGTTATTGATACTACACTAGAGGTTCTTAAGATCAGCATATTGATTCCTCCATTTAAAATGTGCAGGCCTCCAGGGGGCTTTAAAGCACCAGTAGATGGTTTTCTACAGAACTATAGGATAAAAAAATAAAAAAAATCCTTAAGGTTAAAATGATTCTGTTATGTTTTCTCCAATACTTTTTGCTTCTTTTGGAGCATTTATTTTTTAAGAGTGTACACCAGGAATCAGTTGATGAAGAGTAGATGAAGGATGGATAGATGTTGATGGGTGAAGGAAAGCAGAAGTGTGAGGGCTTAGAGTTCTTAGAAGAGAATTCAGCAGCACTTCACGCTAGAGGCCTTGAATTTGGAAAGTTTTTTTCGGGTCAGATCAAGAGAGAGGAAAGTGCTCTCTCTTTGAGATACTCACACAGACAGGTGGCTTTGTAAGGCATGCGAGAGTTACACAGAAGTGCATCGAACTCTTTCCTCTCTAGCGTGGAAGCATTGAGGTGGTGTTGATGGTGTTGATGTTGGTGTTGGTGCATCTGCTTGGGGTGGTGTGGCGTCTCTTTGCCAAAGGTTGAGAATGACTGATCGCCCGCCAACGTCTCGTCCTCAAATACCTCAGAGTCGGGCACAGAGTCCATGCCCGGCACATGCAGGTTGCTGCGGTAATCGGCGCCCTGTCGTGCCTCGG